CCATTGGGGCTGCGGTTTTTGTGCTCCGCGGTTTTTCTTCCGAGTAACCTCTTGGGGACTTCGCATTTGGTGGGTTACTACGAAACATTTGCCTCTGGCACCAGAGTGCCCCACCATTTCAAAGGGATGAACCCTCAGACCTCCAATCACTTTTTGAAAGATTATGAAAGATTCCTTGCGTGAATGAATGGCTAGGAACCATGGGAGAACAAACACAAATACACTCTCTCTCACACACTCTCTCACACACTCTCTCACACACTCTCTCACACACTCTCTCACACACTCTCTCACACACTCTCTCACACACTCACACACTCACACACACACACACTAACTCTCACACACACACACACACTAACTCACACACACACACACTCTCACACACTCTCTCACACACTCTCTCACACACTCTCACACACACTCACACACACACACTAACTCACACTCACACACACACACACACTCTCTCACACACTCTCTCACACACTCTCACACACGCTCTCACACACTCTCTCACACACTCACACACTCACACACTAACTCACACTCACACACACTAACTCACACTCTCTCACACAATCTCTCACACACTCTCACACACGCTCTCACACACTCTCTGACACACACACACACACACTCACACACTAACTCTCACACACGCTCTCACACACTCTCACACACACTCTCACACACTCTCTCACACACTCTCTCACACACACACACACTCTCACACACTCTCTCACACACTCACACAGTCACACACACACACACTAACTCTCACACACACACACACACTCTCACACACTCTCTCACACACACAAACTCACACACACACAAACTCACACACACACAAACTCACACACTGTCTCACACACACACACTCACACAGTCTCTTACACACTCTCACGCACTCTCACACACTCGCACACCCTCTCTTTCTCTCTCTCTCTTTCTTTGTCTCTCTCTCTCTCCCTCACACACACACACACACCTCTCACACAACACGCACACACACATGCACGAATGCACTCACTCAACCACTGACTCAACCACTTACAATGTCTTGCAACGCGGGTATTGCAACCACTGGCAACCACTCTCGTCCAGGAAAAACCAGGAAAACCGAGGGAAGCCTTCAAGCCTCGTATATCGACTTCCATCGGCGCAGTCCGAGTTCCGAGCTGGACTAAGGCCGTGCTTGTGGGCTCCATGCTCGGTGCCCTGCGCCTGCCGCTTCTTTCCATGCGCCACTCGAGCGAAGGGAACCATCCATGGGATATTTTTGGGGCCTCGGGTTCAAGGGTTCCCTTAACTACCTGGGGGCGATCGGGTACTCAAATGGCCAGTGAAATGGGTTTGGCTTTGTTTTGTTTGGTTTCAAGAGAACAAGCACCAATCATGGGAACCCTCTCCAACAAAGATACACGCAAGCAGGAACAGATAGGTGAGTGGATTTCTCATGGCCCTGTTTTGACTTGTGCCCTTGACAGCCAGCTCATATGTTGTCCGAAGCAACCCAGAAAACAATTCGCCGCTGGGCCTTTCCATCCAAAGGGTTTCACACAGGGACACATAGGGGCTCGTTGGACTTGCTCATGAAGGATCCCAAAAGGGGTACCCTCAATAGACACACACACACACACCCAAACTGTTTGGAAAGGCTAGAGACCTTTAGTCTTGTACATTGCCTGGGCCCGAAAGCATTAGCAGCGGCAGCAAGTTCTCCTAGCGATCCTAGCAAGTTCTCCGCGCAGTTGCGCGTCTGAGCAAGTTGTTGACGCGAGTTCCTCTGAGCAAGTTCTCCAAGCAAGTTCTCTGTGCAAGTTGCTCTGAGCAAGTTGTTGGCGCGAGTTCCTCTGAGCAAGTTCTCTCAGCAAGTTGCTCTGAACAAGTTTCCTCTATTCGCGAATCACTTTCGTACTTAAAAGTTGCGATTTTCCAGCCGGAGCTGCGAAAGTTTACTTCGCGTACTACTTTCGTACTTAGAAGTTGCGATTTTCCAGCCGGAGCTGCGAAAGCTTTCGTCGCGTGCTACTTTGGTACTGAAAAGTTGCGAATTTCCAGCCAGACTTCGCGTACAACTTTCGTACTTAAAAGTTGCGATTTTCCAGCCGGAGCTGCGAAAGTGTACTTCTCGCTCAACAGTTGTGCCGGAGCTGCGAAAGTTTACTTTGCGTACTACTTTCGTATTTAAAAGTTACAATTTTCCAGCCGGAGCTGCGAAAGTGTACTTCGCGCTCAAAAGTTGTGCCGGAGCTGCGAAAGTTTACTTCGCGGCGTACTACCTTCGTACTTAAAAGTTACGATTTTCCAGCCGGAGCGGCGCTACTTTCATACTTAAAAGTTGCGAGGAGCTGCCGCGGACCAGGGCGACCGCGGGATTGCGAAAGCAGGCGCGCAAACCACGAGACAACTTCAAAAGGCCATTTCGCGAGTAATAAAATCGCAAGAGCGCTTCGACACGCACGATCTCCGCAGAGAGTTCGCCGCGACTAAGACAAATTCGCACGGCGCCGCAGCGAGAGCACGTCGACACGCACGATCCCCGCAGAGGGCCGCAAAAACGAAAAAAAAAAAAAAAAACCTTGAGTTTTTGCACCTCGACCACGCCGATCCCCGCAGAGGGTCGCGCGGCAGATCAGAAATAGCAAAAAACCTTGGGTTTTTAACCTCGACCACGCCGATCCCCTCAGAGGGTTCTTCTGCGCACCGAACAACGCAAAACAAAACTACTCGAGTTTTTGTACCTCGACCACGCCGATGCCCGCAGAGGGTCGCGCGGGCAGATCAGAAATCGCCAAAAAACACGAGATTTTGCACCTCGACCACGCCGGTCCCCGCAGAGGGTCGCGCGGGCACCGCAAAAAGCCTCGAGTTTTTGTACGCCGATTCCCGCAGAGGGTCGCGCGGGCAGATCAGAAATCGCAAAAAAGCCGCGAGTGTTTGCACCTCGACCACGCCGTCGCAAACCCGATCGACGATCAAAGTCCTGCCCCGGCGCCCTAGAAAGCTAAACTTAACTTACATAACTGCTAACGCCGAAGCTATGCACTTGGCTCTACGCAGTTAGCTCTATGCACTTGACTCTATGCACTTGGCTCTATGCACTTGGCTCTATGCACTTGGCTCTATGCACTTGGCTCTATGCACTTGGCTCTATGCACTTGGCTCTATGCGCTCGGCTCTATGTGCACTTGGCTCTATGTACTTGGCTCTATGCACGGCTCTATGCACTTGGCTCCATGCACTTGGCTCTATGTCTTTGACTCTGCGCAAGTGACTCTAATGCAAGTTGGTCCGAGAGCTCCGTGCGGAAGAACCCTTCGCGATGCTTTCGGAAAAATGATCCGAAAAGCAGCCAACGCACCGTGGTGCCCTGGATGTTTTCGATCAACAAGCCAAACAAGTCGGCATCCCCTGTTCATTCCAAGTGCGCGCTCAAAACCCCATTGGCCCTTCTAGTTTCATAGGTTGTATAGTAAAGTTCACCTATTTTCCCCATAGGGGTGATTCCAACCATTCTGTTCAACCATTGTTCTTCTCAAAAAAAGCGTGCTGTTTCTCCTTATTTTTTTGATGGTGTGGATTCTTGAGGGATTTTTCCGGGCTAGAATCCCTCCATCCCACTCTGGGCTTCCAGAAGGATCTCTAGACGCAGCAGCCTCAGGGGGCAGCGCCTTCAACGTGGCCCTGGTGGCGTGGCCGCTGGGCGAAACCCTCCGAGCCGTCCGACGTTGCAATTGGCAAGTGGACAATTTTACCAAGCAGAACGGATGAACAGACTTCGAGCCATGTTCTTGAGCTATAAACCAAGCAGTTGGGCAAACAAGTATTTGCCATGAACCGGCAGCCCCCGTTTTTGAGACAATTTGTTTTACAGCATGTTTGAGAACTTGTGTTTCTTTTTTTGAGGGGGGGGGAGGAACAACAACCAGCAACCATTTCTTCCGGGATGACACCCTTGTCTCCTGCAATCAATTAAGCTCTGTTCATTGTTCGTGGTCCGGAAAGCATGTTGCAGATGTGTGTGATGTTTAGGGTCATTTAGGTGGGGATTCGTATCCACCACTGAGGTGGGAATTCACCAGATGCGGGTCCCGCCAAATTCGCGGTGTGCCAGGCTGGGGTTCCAGACCTATCAGCTCTACTCCCACATCGCGAAACGCACCGAGTGCAGCCACCCACTGCTCAGGCCCTGCCAGGAGCCAACGAACTGGTTTTTGCTTTGGGGGGTTGGGGGAAGAAAAGCAAGAGGGTAACGGCTTCATGTCGTTGTTTCGATTTTTTCGGGTCAGAACCGGGTCCCTTCAAGTGGCTTGCATATTGAGGGCTTAGCGGCTCAAAACCTGGACATTGGAGGTTTGACAGGGGAGGAGCAGGAGCCTTCAAGGGCCGAGAAAGGGAAAGGGCAGGGATCAAAGAGGGTACGCAGGGTTTTTACTGGACATGACCTGTTGGGGGTGGCTTAAAAGGAAAGCGCGAAGAAAACTGCCGATTTCAAGGAGTCTCAAGTTTGAGACGCATGCAGCGTATCCTGTAGCTGTACTTCTGAATTTGTTCTTAGAAAGATGGTGCTGATATTTCTGCGACATCCATCACACGTGCATTCGGTTCTGAGTTTGAATGGAACACAGTCGGACACAAAGCGTCCAACTAACATTCAACCCGTTGATCTGTTAGTTATTGCAGCTCCGAACTACTTGCTTGCTTCGACTGGCAACAGCCCTCACGCGTCAGGAGCCGGATGACCGCCCGCGCAATGTGTGAGGGTCCGAGGTTTCACCCAAAAAGTTGCACCTGCGGGGCGTAAAACGTTTTGCCCGCTACTCTGCCCTGCTTGTCACGCGGCAGGCCCCTTCTGGAAGTCCGCAAGGGGCGATTCTTTTCGCGTCTTCAAGTGTTTAGGGATGCGGCTTGGAGTGCTTGGGGTTGTGAAAAAGGAACATCTCGGGTTTGATGATTGTCTTTGGTCATCCGGGGAATCTACGTCGAGCCAGGCGAGTACGTGTCCCTAGGCTGGCACGAGAGTGATGACCTCGCTGCCGGGTATCCCGGGCTAACCTGGGGAAAAAAGAAAGCGCGACATGCCACTTACCACTCGCTGGCCCAGGGTTGTTTTGCCAGATTTGTTCAAACAAGACCCTGGCCTACGGGTACCCAAAGGATGTTGTTTAAACAGCTGTCTAAACACGTCAAACAAGACGTTGGCCCAACCCTCGTGCCGCGTTTGTGGAAGTTTGCCTTTTGCCCAGTGGCGAGTAACCCCAGCTAATCCCGCTAGAATTTCTAGATGGCCCTGGTAAAGCCTTTTTGACCCCGCGGATAATAAACCTTTGGTTGATTCATACGGGGGTGTCCCATTTGAAAGGGGATCCTTCACTTTTCGGGAAACACTCCCAATCAATCCACCATGTTGATGGAAGGTTCCGGGCCGACATTACTCAAATGACTTATTTGTGTAGTGATTGAAAGGAGAGCAACCCTGATTAGTATATAGGGCTAACTTGACCATCGTTTCGCATTTGGGCTCAGGCCGTCATCGACTGCCTGCGGAGCTTCCCCAATTGCGGCGCCTTGGTTGAAAGTGGCTTGAGACACCCAGAAGAGACACCTTCAAAGCCCTCAATGTGGTTGGATTTCATGTCTGGTTCCTTTCATGGCCCCAATAAGCACCTAGATTTGGCAGATGATTTTTGCCAGGGTGCAGGGCCAAGCGCGGGTGACCCACCATCAAAATGTGAGGGAAGGTTAGAAAAAGGGATTGTTCAACATAAATAGGTACGCCCGCCTCCTTAATGCTTTGCATGACGTTGCGTGTACAGTTTTAATTCCAGGTTTCGGTTCTGACTCAGGTAGACATTCTCTCTTGATCATGTCTCAGGCTTTGTTGGGAGGTGAGACCCGAGATTCTCGCTCGGGGCACACCACACCGTTGGCCAGTGGGGCGTTCCAAGCTGACAGTCTGGACGCGCGGGTGCTATAATTTGAGCGTCTCTTTCTGAGGCGGCTGGGTCCCCTTGAAGTTCGGTACCCCCGTGAGGTTCTTTGAAGGAATTCGAGCCGAGCGGTCCCATTCCCATGTGGCAGAGCCTCAAATGAACTTAATTACCCCAGGGAATGTACAAACGCCCCATAAACGGGTCATAAGATGTTGGAGACTCCAGGTCACGTTTCAATATGAGTGGAGGGGTTTTGTCAACGAGTCTCCATACTCTGCATTGGGGTTGCTACTCACAGGTGCGTCAAAACCCCAAAAATGCCGGTTTTCCTGTTGCGTGTTTCAATCTAAACCAATTCCACAAAGGGGTCTCAAGAAAACACAAGCCCAAATGACTCAAACGGGAGACGTCAAAATTATGGTTTTCCTTTTGGTTTGCCTTTAAAACCCCTAAAACGGGCATCCTCAAACAAGACAGCCCCACATACAGCTTTCAGCTTGAGGCCCCATTGGCCTGTGGGGGCGGTCCATGGGAGCGGCCACCGCCCTCATGCACGCGGACCAAAATCCAAACCTAGGCGACCGGCCAAGCCTTGCGGGTGCTCGGACCGCTCGGGTTTCGAAGAGTAGTTTATGGTTCATTGATTTGGAGTACCCAGTTTCCTGGTGGTTTCTTACAAAACCAGAAAGCCTACCCAAATGCACCAATAGTAAGTAATGTTGTTCGTTGCTCACAGGTGCCATATGCTTTGGAGCTGTGGGTTCTACCTTTGGTTTTGCAAATCATAGCTTTCATTCCAGGATTTGGGGCCCTGTATTCAGGGCACAGGGGCAAGCACGGGCAAGCCCCTTGCTTTGCCTATGGCTTGACAAGGTTCTGGGGCTCCGCCCTTGCCCTCAGTGCATGGCCCAGTTGCCACCACAGGATAAGCTCTTTGTTTGGTCCAAGACTTTGTCGCCTGCGGTTTGACATGTGGCGACCTTGTGGGAACTTCCGCTGCACTTGGCACCCCCTGTTCGTGGCAACCCACTGAAGGTGATACCTATGCTTGTGTTTTGTCGCAAGTGACAACCACAAGACATCCTCCAGTGCCCTTGCAACTCAGTTGATTCGCACTGTGCGGAGGGGCCGTCTGCGTGGGTTGACGAGATTGTGGACTTGTTTGGGGAGGTCCCAAGATTTTCCGCTTTTGCTGGCTTCCAACATCACCTGTTGGGCCAAGTTCTAATGAGTTTGCTCCAGGTGTGATGTTTTAAAGGGTAGGTCTAGGCAGTATAGGAAACCCTTCTTGTGGAGTTAAGTGCAGAGCCCGCATGTATGTTTGGGGACCCCCACATGTTTGGAAGTTAGGTTCAGAAACCGGCGCAAAATGTTGCAGGCCCGAGGCCTGAGGGATCTTGGAAGCATCTCATGGTCAGGAAGAAGGTTGGGAACGGTTAGTCCTCAGGTCACTTCACCGCCTCACAGCTGGGTTTCTGGAGTGGCTAGGTGGTCGAGTAACTGGAATTCCCTTTAATTGCGGTCACTTTAGGATGAACAAGGTGGGTTTACGGTAATTCCAAGAGAGAAGAGATAGACCATAGGATAGGATTCTTCCGGTTAACCTACCATCATCCACTCGCTTCTCTCGTCTCTTCGGTAGTTTACATTAAGATCTGGAAAGACATATGACATAGTGAAGAGAGAAGAACTAAGCCAAGAAACCGTTGAAAAAAAGTAACAAGCAATGCAGGGAAAGGACATCATAAAGACAGCACACATGATGAACAAGAGATAGCATTCCATTTCCCATGTTCTTTTTGGGAATGCTATCCAATATCTTTTCCTTTACCTGTCTTTTCATTTACTTTATGATTACAGCTTTGCTTTATCTTTGCTTTCATGTAATTCCAAATGCTACAGATAATCATAAAGAAAGCAACATAAAGGATAGTATCCACAATAAAATAACTTGAAAGTAAGGGAAAAGGGATATTATCTCCTTATCATTGTCAACCCGCCGGATCTCCCGGAAATAGAATGAGATGACATATGAAAAAGACAAACAAGATAAAAGGCATGTCATTACAACTCCAAAAGAGAATAATTAGAAGAAGAAGACCAATAGATAGATGAAAGAAATGCAAGAAATTAATAATGATACAAAATACAAGAATAAAGTGAATCATTAATTGATAATGCGAGAATGCAAAATTCTTTAATTTGTAAACTAATAAGAAGAGAAGACAAAAGGAATGACCTTAAAGTGAAGATAATCATTTATTCTGATGACATTTCGTTATTAATAAAAGCATTTCCTAGAGATATAGCAGCATTAGATAAATGAAGTAAGTGTATTAGCAAAAGTTAATTCACAAGGATCTGGAAGATAGAAAGCTTCTCCTGGCCACATCCCTAAAGTTGGAGAAGATAATAAATGAAAAGATGTCCAAACGAAGGATACACATAATCCAGCTTTAGAAACTAGAAAGCTTCCAAAAAGACACTTCATATGTTTTTAGCTAATTCTCTTAATAAATCTCTAGACCAAATATGATTACTATAAATAAATAATAAATTAAGATGAAATAATATAAGAATTAATTCTATGAGAAGTGAATTCCAGTCCAGCAATAAATGTCAAATCCTGTAAAGATAAATATAATTATAATATTTGCAAAGATTAATAAGATAGAAATATTAATAAGAAACAAAATGAATCTGATATATCTTCTAAATGCAATGATTTCCCAAATAACAGATTCTTTTTTTAAAAAAAACAAGTAAAGAGAAATAGAAAAGTGTCTTTATGGAAAGGATAGGATGCATACACACAGCATAGGATTATACAGTATATTTATTTTCTTTCATTTGGTATCTTTATTTTGATTCCTTTCTTTTTGGTTTAATTGTCAAGTTTCTCTCCGGCGTTTCTATCGTTTACCGCGAGAGACGGAAGGTCGTGAACTTACCTAACAACATGAAATCCTAAGAAATACAATATAGAAATTAGTAATGAAAATGAAAGAAGAAAGAACAAATACAATATGAAAATAATAACGGAAGATGCAAATAACAGATTACACATTAAGAAGAGAATTAACTGCGTTTATAGAAGGGATCCAGAGCTGTGTCTGGGGTAGAGGCTATCTTTCTATTTCCCTATCCACTGTTGATGATTGATAGGCTTGGAAGTGGATAGGTGGGAAGGGGCTGTGTGTATATTGGATGGTTTTATGATGGACACAGCCTTCTCCCTGCCTTGTTTTTCCGTTGCCTGGCGTGCCTTTGGTCTCAGGGCCTGCGTGAATACGGACGGGGTTTCCGTCGCATTCACTCGTGAGTGCAGATGACTGAGCAGCGCCCACTCAATTGGCCATTTTAGTAGGTGGTTCCACTGGGGTCGGGGCACTCTTCGGGGGGCCTTTGACGTTGCTTGCGAATGTGTAGAGTAAGTGGTTCCACTACCTTGCTTCATAGGTGTTATAGGAATGTCTATATAAACGTTTGTATCTGTCGGTCTGCGGTTCCGACTTCGCGGAAATCGATGCCAGGGGCGCTCTGTTTGGACTCCTCCTTCGCCAACTTGCGGCAACTTCTGGAGGATCGCCGACTCGGATCGGAAGAGATCATGGGTTCAACGCAGTTTCACATAGCCAGACCGCACGGAATCAGCTCCCATGTAAAGAGGGGAGCCCAAAAGGGGTTGTTTAAACAACAGGCCTTCAAACGTGTTTAGAAAAAGGCTTGGCCCAATGTAAACATTTTGAGGTGCTTTTGGGTGCTGAAAAATCCTCCATTGAGAGGGACATATTGGGGATGCCACTTGAGTGGACCCTGGTCAACAATGGAGTTTACGAGTTCACCCCTTCAGTGATCCTGTTTAGTAGTTGATTCCCATCCAGCATGACTTCTTTATCACTTTAAGGGTATTCTCGGGTATCACAGAAAGGGCCCTAAAGCCAACTTCATCGCAAGTATGACCTGGACACGATGGATGTTTTTGATTCAGGCTTGTGCCTTTGTGTTTCTGTCTCGGCCTTTCTTGTGGCCGCTTTTTGCCACTTTGGGGGGTTCATCCTTCGGAGCTCTTGGACGCAGGAACTCGCGCAGAGCAAGAGTGTGCCGTTGCCGGCGCCTGGTCGGGAAGTGACGGTCTGGAATGCAGGCCTTGGCTTGGAGGTTTCGGGGTTCGAACCCTGGCTTTGGAGGCAGATACCATCTGAGCAACCACGAATTTGGGGGTAAGGTGAGGAGTTGGGATATCGCGATGTCTGTCCACTGGCAATGTTCGAGGGGTTCAATCAGCTTGGCCCTTGCGTCTTTTTCAAGGCGTGGGGATGGCTTTGAACAACCACAGGATTATTATTCTTTCATCCCTTCCTACGGGTCATGCCCTTCTTGGGGGGTCAAAGTCAGATGGTTGGCTGCTTCCCTGCAACCGCAGGGGTGTTTTTGTTGGAGCGTGAGTCGAGGTTCTGCACTTTGCTCAGGTGCCCTCGTGGTTGGTGGGCCCCGCTCTGGCGCTGGCCAGCGCGCCCGGGAGACAACAGAGTCCGACGGATGCCCATTGATTCGGAGTTCGCTGGGCAAGGAATGAGCCCAAAAAAGGCAAGCCCCGAAAGAAGGTTGCAAAATTGGCTCGTGTCGGGTTCCGGTCTTTTCAAGCACACACCCTTCTCTTGGGGTGTATAGCACATGGGATCCTGGAGTGCGATTGGTTGGAACTCACTCGTGGACTACCGCGATTTGGAATCGATGTGGTTCGACTCCGCGCAGTCCGAATGAGTGGCACGGCAATTTCTCCCTGAAGATGATGTGACATACTCGTGTTTCCCTGAAACACACACCTGTTTCAGCGGGAGTTGCAGGGTCGAAAAAAAAAAAAAAAAAAAAACGGAAAAAAAACTGATTTTGAGCACTCACAGCCCCGAGCATGGCGATCTCAAGAGGCAGCGTGAACCCACCCATTCTCTCTCGCTTTCGGCCGAACACCAAGCATTTCCTGTGCCTTTGGATCGGGAAACCCCAAAGTGGGGCCCAGTTCCTTCAAAGCATCTCCATCAGACCCCATGCTTGGGGCTGTCAGCCAGATTCGGACAGGAAGGAGTCACGTTTGCAGTCTTAGTGCTCGGGGTTTTGGCGCTTGTGGGACCTTGGCTCCGCAATTTCCGCACGGCAACGTACTTCCAGGGTCTTAATTGGGCCTTGTTTGCTTTTCAAGACCCTAAGACACTGAAGTGCCTCGATCTTGGCTTTCCCACAATCACAAGATTCTGCTGCCCGCCAATATCATATGTCATCCCAGACGATGTTCTCCTCAGTGTTACCCTCCAACATGCATGGAGCTTGCAATTCCCAGGAAAATGATCTTCCACCCAGGTATATGTTTTTTGAGGGTACCTTCTTTCGAGCTTGGGTTGAAGGGATACCAGATACAAAGCCACTAGTTTGGGGATTTTGACACATGCACCTCATTACACCTCCTTGTCGCAGCGCTTTAAGTTGATTCTGCTTTTCCCGAGATCCGCCTGCGCGTGAAGTCCCTGGCGGACTTTGACATAGAGGACTTCGCAATTCGGGCAACTGCCACCAATCAAACCACCATGGCTATGTGGACATCATTCAGGTGGGGATTTGTGACCAGCCACTTCAGAATGGGGTTCACCATGAGAGTTCATTGCCGCTCGCCACGGGCAAAAATTCAGTTGTCCGTAGTCTTCCCGTGGCTCCCACAGTCTTGAAGTAGTCTTTCCGTAGTCTTCCTGGTCTTGTAGTCTTTCCGTAGCCTTCCTGTCGTCTGCACTTGTGTGCGCGCCGCATTTGGTCAAATCTCCCCCCATAGACACCCCCGCAAGTTTCACACGCTCGACTTTACCGAAGCATAAGTGCTTGGGTCAGCCTTTGGGTGGTCCAGTGCCATGCACACCAAGTCATTTGGCAGACCCAACCCTAAAGAACTAATGCCCTAAAATGAACGTTGCAACATCGACCTCGAGTGTCCACCATATTCGCTATGGTCAAAAGTGGCCATCCACCTGGTATTAAGGAAACTTTGTAATCATTCGAGTGCAATGGATCATTTGGGGCTCAAAGCTGAAAGAGGATGGGAAGTAGCCCCTTGGTTTGGTTTCTTTGCTCATTGGACAGCTCGCGGGTCAATCGGACCTGGCAAAGCGGCACGGAAGCAGAAGGGAGAAGCGATATTTGGTGAGTTCCAAATTGGCCGATTCGCATTAGCTCTGGATCATCTCTGGCTGCAAGACGAGTTCTAGCCAAAGATCGTTTGAGTGCTTGAGCAGATTTGGTCATAGGCAATGATCGAATCTTATGCAATGAATCAACTGCCTCCTTACACTGTACCCGACACGGCATGCTTTTGATTCGCTCTCAGCCTTGCGGAAGCCAGGATCCTTTGTAATCATTATGATTCCTAAGAGAACCGTGACAATAGGATACAATAGGCCATAGGAGTTTTGACCAGTCCATGGAGTCTTGGTGCGACCGGCAGGATTTAGTCCCCTTGCAGCATGCGAAGCGGAGGCGGGCGCAGAAGCACGGTGCACCTCGTTGTCCTGCGGTTTATCCATTCACCGAAGCACCCACAAGGGCTACATTGCCATGGGAATCAACCGCTAGACAGTATCACAGAAAGGGGCCCATTTCCAACATGGTGTGAACCCAGGTTGGGTGCGGAGCTTGCAAGAGTTCATGTTCATCGCGTTGTTGTCTTTCGTGCACCGGTGAATGTTGCGCGTGTCGAACAGCCCGCTCCGGGACTCAAACAAAACGGGCATGTGTCGAAACTCGCGACTTTGTAGGGCGGTTTCAATCGCATTGACAGTTCCTGGAAAGGAGGATCCTCCAAACCGGGCTTTGAAAAGCAACCCGGAAAACTGGCGCACGTTCATCAATCAAAACACCGAAAACATAATCAAACAAACAAGCAAACAAATAAGCAAGCGAACGGACGAATGAACGAACGAACACGAACACGAACACGCACACGAACACGAACACGAACACGAACACGAACACGAACACGAACACGAACACGAGCACGGCACGAGCACGAACACGAACACGAACACGCACACGCACACGAACACGAACACGAACACGCAAACGCACAAACCCACAAGCGCGCACACACACAAACAGACAAACACACAAACACAAGCACATACCAACACAAACGCACAAATACAAACACACAAACAAAAAAGAAGCAAGCAAGCAAGCAAGCAAGCAAGCAAGCAAGCAAGCAAGCAAGCAAGCAAGCAAGCAAGCAAGCAAGCAAGCAAGCAAGCAAGCAAGCAAGCAAGCAAGCAAGCAAGCAAGCAAGCAAGCAAGCAAGCAAGCAAGCAAGCAAGCAAGCAAGCAAGCAAGCAAGCAAGCAAGCAAGCAAGCAAGCAAGCAAGCAAGCAAGCAAGCAAGCAAGCAAGCAAGCAAGCAAGCAAGCAAGCAAGCAAGCAAGCAAGCAAGCAAGCAAGCAAGCAAGCAAGCAAGCAAGCAAGCAAGCAAGCAAGCAAGCAAGCAAGCAAGCAAGCAAGCAAGCAAGCAAGCAAGCAAGCAAGCAAGCAAGCAAGCAAGCAAGCAAGCAAGCAAGCAAGCAAGCAAGCAAGCAAGCAAGCAAGCAAACAACAAGCATGCAAACAAACAAACCAACAAACAAGCAAGCAAGCAAACAAACGATCAAGCAAACAAACGGACGACAAACAAACAATCAGTCGCACACGCGCACGAACAGCAAACAAAAAAGTCAATCAAGCAAACAAACAAATACACAAACAACAGTTACAAACAAACAAGCAAGCAAACAAGCAAGCGAGCGCGCAGGCAATGAAGCAAACGAGCAAGCAAGCAAGCAAACAATCCAACAACATACACGCAAACAAACAATCCAACAAACACAGCAAACAGACAAACAACCAAACACACGAGCAACAAACTAACAGTCAAGCGAACAAACAAACAACAATCAAACAAGCAAACAAGCAATCAAGCAAAGGAAAAAACAAGCAATCACACAAGTAAGCAAAGAAACAAGCAAACAAACAATCAAACGAACAACCAAACAAACAAGCGGACAAACAAACAAACAAAGATCACAATCAATCAATCAATCAAACAAGCATTCAAGCAAACAAACAAACAAACCAACCAACCCACATGCACAAACACACAATCAAACGAGCAAACGATCAAACAAACAAACAAACAAACGATCGATCGAACAACCAATCAAGCACACAAACAAGCAATCAAACAAACAAACAAACAAACAAACAATCTCTCAACCACACACACACACACGAACAACCAAACACCAAGCACACAAACAAACAAACAAACAAACAAGCAAGCAAACAAGCAGACAGACAGACAGACAGACAGACAGACAGGCAGGCAGGCAGGCAGGCAGGCAGACAAACCAACAATCAATGAAGCAAGCGAACAACAAACAATCAGTCGAGCAACCAAACAAACAGCCAAGCAAGCAAGCAAGCAAACAAACAATCCAACAAGCTAACAAACACACATCCCAAGATAAATCTTTACTCACCGGGTTTTTGTGTTGGGCTCGGGAGCTTCCGTTCAACGTTTATAGGGGCTTACAGGGTTCATGGGGGCTTACAGGGATTTGTAGTGGTTCATAGGGGAAAGTCTCCTTCCAAAAGCCGCTTCGCCAGCTGCGCTCCGGCCATCTTCCTGCACGGCAGAGAAGGCACGTGTCGTCCTTTTTCGCACATTGTGGAAGGAACGTCCGCAATCCGTTGGAGGAACTCCAGTTTGGGGGTTGTATTCTTTTAGAGGGAAATATTGATTACATGGGCCGAAATTGCCAATCGTTTGCTCCAATCATGACTAAGCTTGGTGAATCCATCACTTTCAATTAGGAATATGATCTGGCCCAGGAACCTCCAGAGGTAGGTTTCATGGTGTGTTTTTTCAGGGTAGCCTTTTTATGAGGTAACCTCTTGGTGGTTTGGATTGGTGGTTGGGAGTTGACGTCCTTCTTGTAGAGGGTAAAGGGGAAGCTATCCCAAACACCAATCCAAACCACTTGGACAATTGCTCACTTTTAGGTTGGTTTCAAGGAACACCAAAAGGAAAACCCACCATCTTGTTGCGCAGTTGATACCCGCAAATTGTTTTTTTGGTTGTGGGACTCTGTTTTGGAGATCCAGGGACATGTCTGTGGGATTGAAACAGGGACACCAGGAAACCGCGGGAACGTGTCGTACGAGTTGGAATTCTGAAAGCTGTTGGCAAATGGAATGGAGGGCCATTTTTTCTATTTTATTTTATTTTTATTGTTTTGGGGGGGAGTATTTTTGTTTTTCAGGGTGGGTGGCTTTTTTGCTTTTGTGGCTTTTACGTGGGTTTATGGACATGCGGGGGATGTGGAAAACAATGCTGATGATGTTGACGGGCTAGTGTAAAATACGTACATTTGTGAGAAAATGCTGTAAAACACAGCATTTTACTAGCCAAGACGGAGAAAAAACAACCAACAATAATTAATAAAAATCCCAAATTAAATCTCGACCCAAATGGACTTCCTACTGCCAGGGCTGGTGTTCAATTCCCGCGGCTTTGGCAACTGTGGCTATGGCGCATCAACAACTAGGTTTCGGGGCACTTTTTGGGCCTGACTTTTTGGGTGACAAATTGAGTGTGCCTTGTTTCCGCAGGTCCCATAGGGATCCATCATTTTGCCAAAACGACAGCTGGTCAGCAGCTCTTTCAGGACTTTTCGATCAGACAAGTTGGGCATGAGCCTTCCATCCGGGCAAAACAACGGATGCCACGGGCATCCGTGTGGAATACAATTGTATCAAAAAAGCGGGGACCCCCCAAATTGTTTTTCCTTTGGGATTCCCTGTAAAACCATCCCAAAAGGGAACCCTCAAAATAGGACACACCCTTGTGTCCCCCTCTTTGTAGTGGTTCTCCTCTTTCAGCACACCCCACATGGCGATGGCCCCCAAAATGCGGCAAACAAAACCCATGGGCGGCTCAGGAAAGCCATGAAACCCCCCATGTCAAATTGCAGTCTGTGACGGGACCAATGACATGTGAGGGGGTTCTCCAGAGATCCCTTTGGCTTGGCCTATGTTGGCCTAAGGCATTTCTCCCGAAGTGGGGACCCTTGAAGCTGTGCCAGATGACTTCGTCCACCCGGGCCACTCGCAGCAACTCTATGAGGCCTACATGGGCAGCAAGGCCGCGCCTCCGGCGTCCGGAAGAGAAGGTGTGTGTTTCCTGTCCAGCTGAAAGCTTCGTCCCGTCCTGAAAGCTTTGTAGGGTTCCGGAAGGGTTCCTCGAAAAGCACATGAGCGCAACCAAGAAACCTGTTTTCTCGCACCCGCAACACACAATTCCCAGCAGGTGAGGTCATACCACCCCAGCTTGCTGACATGGCCCAGGAGTTGATGGCGGTGGAAGGTGATCACAATAGCGAGAGGCGTGGTTGACATGTTCTGAGAGGCCGAGAGCATGGAAGGCGGTGGGTGTCCCAACAACATCCACTTCCAAATGATTTTTTCCCTTTAGTTTTGCATAAGGTTCACTGAACATGGAGAAGCCATCAGATTCATTTGGTTGGCAAAAGATCGGTCGGGTGGGAGGACTCGGACAGGAGCGGACGTGTGGTGAGCCACATCATCGGCTTCTTCGGGCGATGTCTCAGGCCGGATTTGTCGGAGGCACACCTCGGGCTAGCCAAGCAGGGTTAGAACCTTGAAGGTTTTGATGGGGTTCTGAGAGCAATTCTGGTTGGGGCCCCCTTTGGTTGGTGGATTCCGAGCTGAAACCACTCAAAAGGTCCAGCGTCCCGCTTTGAGATTGAACATTGTCAAGTTTATCATTCTTTGTGTGGCTCGTTCCCTCAAGCGGCCACCCCAAGAAAGAAAGGGTTCCTTTCCTTTCCGGGTGCACCGGAGAACTGGGGAATGGGTGTTGCGTGGCGTGGCCTCTGGGTGTGAATCAAGTTAACCTGGAATCTCACGTGCAGTGGAGCAGTCCTCATTGTACATATGTAGTGAAGCAGTGAGTGAACATGATAGCACTTGCAAGCCATTGTAGCTCAAAGCTTTTGGCCAATATGCGAAACACGGCTCGGGTGTTTCATGCGGAGCGCCCTCAAACATGGTGGACACAGATTTCTTTGTAAAACGCGACCCGCCAGCGAGTCCACTCCATTAACCATTACCCACCTGGGCCGTATTTTTTCAAGTCACGCTGTTGGACGGTTGGAAAGGGAAGCCAAAAGGAGCACCCATTTGGTTGGGGTCCATCTGCTTGGAGACCCACATCCGGCGCGACGGATGTGCCGGATGTGCCGGAGATGAGTTTGCAGGAGGATCTGTGCAAGCTCCTGCTGCCGCTTTCGCCGCAGAGCCGCCAAGAGCTCGAGGGGAAATGCAGTGCCACGCATCCCTTGGATCTGCTAAAGGTGCCTTGGTTGACCGAAACAACCTTCGAACCTTGTCAGTTGGTATGGGGGGTATTTTGCGGGTTGCAACCAGGTTTGGCTTTTGGATGGGGCTGCGAGGTTTTGTCTGACCCCACCGCGCCTACAGCAGTTCGGCAGCTGTCGGGGGTGCTTTTGTCCAAGCAGCTGCCAACTGTGTGGAGCGTTCTGCCCGCGGTGGATAGGCAGGGGTCCAACCAAATTGTGCCAATAGGGATGAAGGGACCCTAAAATGATCGGTTTCCTTTTGGTTTGCTGGTTTCCCTTGAAACCAACCCCAAAAAGGGTCCCTCAAAAAACACATGGACAAATGTTCAAAAGGGACGTGTGGTGGATGCCCGAAATGCTGCAAGCAAATTGTCCAGTGTAGTCGAGGGTTGGTTTCCCCTGACAGGGGCAAGCTGCGGTCGGCCCTGCTTTCGGCGCTGGACACTTCAGATGGGGATGCTGTGGCAAGGAGTAGGGTGGGGCAAAAATTTTTGAACCACCCAGGCCCTGGCCCGCTTTTGAGGGGACGACAACATGAGGTTGGTAGCATTTTGTGAGGGAAAGCAACATGAGGTTCTATGAACAAAGGTGGTAGCATGAAGGGGTTGGCCCGGAGGAGTCTGGCTGATTGCGCGGCCTGCGTGGCCCGCTGCCTGGAGGATTGGCCGGAGCTGTTTGGGTGGATTCGGAGTGTGGCAGCGGAGACAGGACCTGGGTGCTACTCCATCATCCAAATCCGCAGGAGGCAAATCTTTCTGCACCTGCTGGACCGATTGCTGCAATCGCCTTTTTGCGAAAGAGCACAGGATTTCGCATTTGCTCTGGAATTTGCTCTGATTGTTCCAGACACAGTTTATCAAATGGCTATGATTCCTAGGATGTTTAACAGGGACCCCTCCGAATCCCCACCTGAATGTCCAGAAAAGGGTCCCCAAAACAAGATTTGTTTCCAGATCCCAGGTCAGTCGCCTGGCGGAACATGCTGGAGCCTCACTGGTTGGAGCTCTCCGAGCTCCTGAGCCGTATGGCTCTCTCCGGCACGGAGGGCGAGGCGTGTTGGCTTCAAATGGGACGTTTCTCAAAATCGATTTGGTTGGTATTTTGAAGGGACACCTACACAACCTTGGCATTAGAAGGAAAACCAAAAGGACACCGTTGCCATTTTAGGGCACCGATTCCAATTTGAGCAACACCCAAATGCGTTAGGAACATCTGGTTGCGATGAACCTGGTTGGAACGAGCTCACCGATTCGGGGGAAAAACGAGCTCACCCGTTTCCATCTCGTGATGGATGAGCCCAGTATTAGCTGCCATTACAGACCACAACCCTCCCGTGGCTCCCTGATGGCTCTGAAGCTGGTGTTCAAGCAGACATTCCGTTTTGCCTCGTCTTTATAACCACTTGCGAAGTAGTGAGCAAACAGTTCCTTGGCACAATCCACTCAGGCAGTGACTATGAACTATAGTTCCCACCTTAGAAGTGGTGGACTCGAATCCCACCAAAGGATCTGCGACCCATTCACATTCACACACCCCTCTAAATGTGTGGTTTCATTTTGGTTTTTCTTCAAACCATCAAAATGCGGAATTGAGACAGTCAGATGTCTTAAAATTGACAAAGTCGGCCACTTCAAACAAATTCCCAGGCCGAGACGGGCCCTGCGTGAGGCCTTGGCCTGCGCTTTCCACGCCTTGGAGACCTTGGGCTCGGTGGGCGCCTTGGTGAGAGGCGAGGAGGCGGCCTGCCGCTTCCACCAGCAAATCGTCCAGCCGCTGCTGTCCCCGCAGGCGAAGTGGAGAAGGAAACCGGTTTTTGCATGAATTTGGATTTGGGGGTCTCAAAGTTGCTTGGATTTGGAGGTCCATTTCTTTGAACGACCAAGAGGGTAGTTTTGAGATAGGCTCTTTAATGGACTCCCATGGTCGACCTTGGATTCAGGTGTGTGTCAAAATAGAGGACGCGTAACCACCCCCAAAAAGTACCTGGTCTTACTGTAGGTTGAACCACTTTCTGTGGCAAATCCGCTTTAGATTGATCAAGTCACGGGAATGAGCCACGAAATGGTACTGGATTTTAGACGGAACCACCTTGATCCTCAGAATAAATGATCAGCAGGAATCAGCTACTTCATCACAGAAACCATGTCAGGTGGTGCTGTCCCCGCTCTGCGACTCGGATTCCAAAGAGATCGGGCACGCCTTGCTTTTGTTGGAATCGTCTGATGAAATGGCTCAAAACAATTGCGACTGGATCAAGACATAAATGATTGACATGGACAACACATCGATCACACAACCAAGGACTGCACAATTTTCGAGTTTGGCTTAGGCCTTCTGTCGATTTTGTCCTCTTTTTCTTTAGTTCCGATAACTGCCGTGCCTGAGGCGACGGGTTGCTGGAGTCGCTGGCCCGCATGGCCGCGGCGGACGAGCTGCTGATCGCAGAGGCGTCCTTTTACAGCTCCTCCCCGGAGGAGAGAGCGAGATCCCGAGATTCGGTAGGGGAAACATGTCCCGTGGTCAAAAGGCCGGTTCCTTTGCTTGGGGTTAACAGGGATGGTCCACCCAACAATCCCTTACTGTCTCTTACAATGATTCCTATTAAGGGAATCATGACCGTAGGCCATATATAAGCAGTTTTGGCCATGGCTCACATAGGTATGGCTGTTTGTGGGGGGGAACCCTCTTTTGGTTGGTTTAAACAGGAAACTAATAGGACGCAAACAGACACGACAAAATATACCCATATCATAGTTCACACTGTGCGAAGTGGGGGCTATTGCCGCCTAATAGCCTAATTCTCTGGGGATTTCACCATCGGGGGCCTCAACGTAGGAACATGTTTCCGAGTCAACGATAATGCCTATTTGACGTTCGTGACAAAATAAGTTGAAATGATTCGATGTCCAATGCTTAAACAAGTCGAGCTCGCTTGGTAGTAAGTGGGCCTTTGCAGCCCTTTTGGGGCTTACAGAAACAATCCGAGAGAGTCTAACATTGGGACAGTTTTTGTGTGAACCAAAGGCAAGGGTTTGCCCGTTAGGCCAACTACTTTCTGTGAGCAAACGTTTCCATATTTGGAGGCACGTTTTTTGACATTGCTAGAATAGACCGAACATGTTGCCATTTTGCGAACACTTTTTTCTTTCTTTTAAAGACCCGAAAAGGCGGCTTTTAGACCCAGACAAGGGCCGCAACCTCAGGAGCTGTGCCTCGTGGTGCGTCTGGGACTTGAGGCTGCCGCCACTTCAATTCCGCAGCGGCCGAGGGCCTTGCGGCTGCTGTACACCGTGGCGGACTCGCACTCGCGGCTGCTGTGCCGTGCACAGAACGGGCAGCTCTCCGCGGCTTCGCAAGCGTTATGAAGTCAGCTCCAGTCTTGAAGGGAAGGCAAACAAAAATGGGTGGTGATATTTTGAGAGCCTTCAAAATTGTATTTTTGGGGTTGAGTGCAGATCAGTCCAGGGGCCAGCTTTAAGTGGTTGTTGTGATGGGACGCTCTGATTTTTCCCTGTGTAGGGCAAATTCAAATGGCTAGATTTTGAGGTTTTCTACCCATGTGTAAGTTTGAAGTAAAGCAACCTGCAGGATTGTAGTTAATGGTTTGCTTCCCCAAAGTGATTTGGGTCAGCTTGAAAATTGGACTTCCGATCAATCCGGGTTTTCCAATCCTGCGTGCAGGGGTTTTGGGCACCCTTCACCGGGATTCCCTGGCCAAGAAGAAGTTGGACTCATGGGTTTGATTCTGGCGTCCAAAGGGTGGATGAAAATTTGGATCTGCCACCAGTACAACGGTCGAACGCAGGTTGTGGTGACTGGCAATGTGTGTTGTCCTCGCGGCAACAAATGCAATCTAGGCCTTAGGAGGCGAAGGGGTCCAAAGGCTTCCTCCAATCAATGTGCACGTAGGGTTGAGTTTCAAAACGCCCTCAGTCCGCTTCCTTTCCCGAGGCGGAAGGCGTGCTGCGCACCCTGGTGGAGGTGGTGGCGCCGGAGGAACTGCGGAGGTCGCCGGAGGCGAGGCTTGAGTTCCAAGGAGAATCGCGGACGAGGACCTCCGCGTGCAAAGACCCATTTTCGATTTGTCCCCTCCGTTTTGCCCTTAATTCGTGGCTGGTTTGGATTTGGCTTGGAACCCCTGGTTCTTGTGGAGGGTAGCCTCCGAACCACCAATCCGATCCCAAACATTTTTTCATTTTTTTTTCTCCGAATGCTGTCAGGGGACGTTT